GGACACTGTATGCACATCCCTTGCTCCTGGTGTGCCCACAACCCTCTCCAATGGCCAGCTCAAGGTATTGGACACAAGGAGCCTCTGCAGCCTCCAGTGTGCCTCTCCATGGGCCCACTGAAACCCCATGGCCTTGCAGAGCACCAGATCCCGTTCTGGGCATCATGGGTCCTACAGGGGAGGATGGAAGTGAGAAACAGGCAGAGCAGCTCAAGAAGAGGGATCCTTTGAGAGGTTTAACCTAGAAGGTGATTTTGGTGGCTTGTGGGGACACTTGGACACAGCAGCTTCACAGCGGTACAGGGGCAGGGAGCATGGGATGTGGCTGTGCTGTGTTTTGGGGTGCCTGGGACAGGAACCGCTCCTGCTCCTGCTGTGGCTGCTGATGGCGAAGCAGCAGAAGCTCTCAGAGCTAATCCCCATGGGAAGTGCCAGCCCAAAGCCTGGTGGTATCCCATGAGAGGAGATGAGCCAACAGAACATGGACAGGATACCTTTGGGAAAAGAGGGCTCTGTAGGCAGTTACTGGTCCATTAACTGGAGTGCAATTAGAGGTGAGCTTCTGGAATGGGATCTGAAAGAGTATTCAAAGGCATGGTGTTGGGAAGCAGAATAAGTCTTTAACACAGATCATGCCAAGCTGGACCAGTATCTTCCTTGAGTGTGACCTGAAACAACAGGGATCTGGATTCAAGCCAAGCACCTGATGGAGATGATTGTTGGAGGTGGAGACAGGAAAGAGGCAGCAAAAGGGAAGGAGGACCCTTGGATCCTTCCCCAAGGGGAGAGCTAAGGCCTGAAGCTGGTACCAGTCCCTTTGGAGGGTGGGAGAAGAGGCTGAAGAGGAGTTGGGCAGGAACATGGGGAGCTGCTGGAGCCTGCAGGGAGCTCAGCAAGCGGAGGGCACTGAAGAAGAAGGAGGAGTGAGGGTCTCTGGCAGAGGTGGCAAAGGAGGAGCACATCAGGCCAGATGTGTTCGGATGGGCTGTGTGCTGTTCACACCCTAACCCAGAGGTCTGAGGTCTCCTCCAGGCCGGCTCACCTCCGTGCAAGGTGGTGCTGAAGGAACCTTATGAGAACACATGCAAAGGAATTGGCTTCTCCTGCTAAAAGAGACTGATTCAGACTGGCTCCTCTTTAGGAATCCCCTTGAGAGGCAAATATTATGGTGGGAGAAGAACCAGGAGCACAATGCTGGTATCATGGTCAACGGAAGTACATTAATGCTGGAAACCAGAGGGTGATGCTTCCAGGTGGAGCACGGTTTATGGAGGAGGCTATGGCAAACCTGGAAAGAGAAGGGGAGGATGTGAACTGTTTGCCTATCACGCTTGTTTGCCTCAGGAGAGACACGAGAAGGCAGGGATGAAGGTGGGGGAACAGAGCGGGTGAGAAGGGGGCTTCCCCCAGGCTCCCCCTTTGCTTGTGTGGGATTTCCGCTGTTGCCCTGCCCAAGGCATCCCTGTCCTTCCCCACTCCTTCAGGAACAGTTATTCCTGAAGATCTCCTGCCCATTGGCAGCCTTTCACCAGGCCCAGAACATGGATGCAAAGCGGATGAATGGAGCGGGATGGGCGGCATCGCTGTGCCCTGGGTGCAGGGACAGGTCTGTCTGCTGGGAATGCTCAGGGCAGTGGTGTCCCCAGAAGCGGCCTGCCTGCTCCTCCCCTCTTCAAGCCAACAGGGACCTGCCCTGGCTCCCCACAGCTCCCAGCTCTCCGTGCTCCCAGGATGGAGGAGGAAGGGGCCCAGATCCCACCCCCTCCCCGTGCTTTGCCTTTGGGAAAGCCTCTTGCAATGGTGCAGAGATCCCAGCAGTGAACACACACTCCACAGGGCTGCTAATGGGAAGCAGATGGCAGCGAGGGGCCTCTCTCCCTCTGCAGTGGCGCTGCTTTCCTGTGCCGGAAACCCGGCGGCTTTCCGAGGGGCCATGGGGCTGGAGCTGGGGTGAGCTTCTGGGGTGAGCATTGCCATGGGGCTGGAGCTGCGCAGCTCCTGGGGTGAGCATCGCCATGGGGCTGGAGCTGAGCAGCTCCTGGGGTGAGCATCGCCATGGGGCTGGAGCTGAGCAGCTCCTGGGGTGAGCATCGCCATGGGGCTGGAGCTGGGGTGAGCTCCTGGGGTGAGCATCGCCATGGGGCTGGAGCTGAGCAGCTCCTGGGGTGAGCATCGCCATGGGGCTGGAGCTGGGGTGAGCTCCTGGGGTGAGCATCGCCATGGGGCTGGAGCTGCGCAGCTCCTGGGGTGAGCATCGCCATGGGGCTGGAGCTGGGGTGAGCTCCTGGGGTGAGCATCGCCATGGGGCTGGAGCTGGGGTGAGCTCCTGGGGTGAGCATCGCCATGGGGCTGGAGCTGCGCAGCTCCTGGGGTGAGCATCGCCATGGGGCTGGAGCTGCGCAGCTCCTGGGGTGAGCATCGCCATGGGGCTGGAGCTGAGCAGCTCCTGGGGTGAGCATCGCCATGGGGCTGGAGCTGAGCAGCTCCTGGGGTGAGCATCGCCATGGGGCTGGAGCTGCGCAGCTCCTGGGGTGAGCATCGCCATGGGGCTGGAGCTGGGGTCAGCTCCTGGGGTGAGCATCGCCATGGGGCTGGAGCTGCGCAGCTCCTGGGGTGAGCATCGCCATGGGGCTGGAGCTGGGTGAGCTCCTGGGGTGAGCATCGCCATGGGGCTGGAGCTGGGGTGAGCTCCTGGGGTGAGCATCGCCATGGGGCTGGAGCTGGGGTGAGCTCCTGGGGTGAGCATCGCCATGGGGCTGGAGCTGGGGTGAGCTCCTGGGGTGAGCATCGCCATGGGGCTGGAGCTGAGCAGCTCCTGGGGTGAGCATCCCCTTCCTCAGCCCAAAGCGCCCCCAGTGGAAGCCAGCAGGGAGCTGCTGCTGCTCTCACACGGCAGCAGGCACCGCTCCCCTGGGGGTGCCAGCCAAGCTCCAGGTCCTGGCTCAGAATCATCCCACACAGAACGGGTTGGAAGGGACCATGTGAAGATCATCTCCTTCCAACCTCCTGCCACTGGAGCAAGCCCAGCTCCCTTTGGGGAAAGGGGTATTTTGGTCCACACAAGCCATCAGATGCTCCCAGGAGGGGCAGGAGCAACAAAGTGGATCTCACCTCATCCTGAGCTGTATCCCTGGAGCTGACCAGGAGAGGACACTCAGTCCTGCTCCTCCCAGGCTGTGTAGGTGGCCAAGAGCCTTAGGGAACAGAGGCTTGGAGAAGTTGGATGTAGCAGTTACGGTGCCAGCATCCACTGTGGAGACCTGGCCTTGGCTTTCTTGCTTTGCCCCAGATGCTCCCTGCACCCCTTGGGTTGCCCCAGCACTTGTGAAGGCTCCGTACCACCAACGTGGCACCGTGTCCCTAAGCAAAGCCTGACCCACTGGGGTTCCCCTGCTTATGGTGACTGCCTCGGGCTCAAATCCCACGCCGAAGAGCGATGAGAGCCTCCTCGGGTGGTTTCTCACTTGCTGTTTCCCCTTATCGCTTCAGCACAGCCTTCCCCCTTGAGATCTCTGCTCCTTCCTCGTGCCCTCGGGCAGGAAGGACATTCAGCAACTACTCACAAGCAGCTCCACGGAGGGGACCTCTCGCTTGAACCCAGGGCTGGAGAGCACAGCGGGTACGTGCACAGGGGGGGTGAACTGGAAGGAGAGCGGGAGCATGGGGCTGGGTGGAGAACATCAAGCCATGGGGTAGGATGAGTGGAAGGGAACGGGGTTTGGGGCAAGAGAAGCAAAGGGATGAAGAGGTGGAAGGAGCCTGTGTGTGTGGATGGGGAAGGGCTGGTGCAGAGTGGGGAAACTGAGGGGCTGGGATAGGGGAGGGGGATGAGGTGCAAGGGAAGAGGGAGGGAAGCTCGGGGTGGAGAAGTGCTTGTGGCAAAGGCAGGGGCTAAAGGGGAGGGCTCTGCATCCGCATCAGAGCGTGTGAGGCAGGACACGGAGCTCTCTGGGTGCGCCAAGCTCCCCTTGGGGTCTGTGTTGGGCTCCGGGGACCAGACAGAGCCCGGAGACACGAGGCCCATGGGATGGGGGCTCTGCTCCTGGGCCAGCTCAGCCCTGGGCCCCAGCACCCTCCTGTGCCTGCCCCCCCGCAGCACACAGGAAACAACAACGCGACCGCAGGGTGACGGGAGCTTGTTCTGGTGGGGCAGGAGCTGAGCTCTTGGGGGGGGCAGGAGATGGGACGAGGGTTGTGCAGCCCCCAGCACGTCCCCATCATTCCTTCGCCTTCCCCTTGCTCTGCTCCTCCCTCAGCATCCTTTGCTCAACCCCACATGAGCAAACCGGGGCTCCTCAAGCCTCCTCTCTTCTGGGTGTTCTGAGGGTGAGGGCAATGGGGGAAAACCCCTTCGGTGCCTCTCCAAGCAGTTATTACCTAAAGGGGCTCCTTGCGATGCTGGTTGGGGTTTTGTTTTCCTCTTCTCCTTCCTGTGCTGTGTTAATGCTGCTCCAGGACCAATCGCCTTCCACTTGTGAGCAGAAGCCAGCACATCCCCTTCTGCTCGTGTTTCCATCACCCCCCTCCTGCCCAGTATCTTTGTATGGGACTAGAGGGGGGTGATGGTTTTGAACTAGAAGAGGGAGGTTCAGGCTGGATGTGAGGAAGAAACGTTTCACAGTGAGGGTGGTAACGGCACCGGCTGCCCTGAGAGGTGGTGGACACGTCCAAGACCAGGCTGGAGGTGGCTCTGATCCAGTTAAAGACGTCCCTGCTCGCTGCAGGGCTGGATGAGCTTTGAAGGTCTCTTCCATCCCAAACCATTCTATGGCTCCAGGACTGAGCCCGGTGCCCACATCACCTTCCAGCTTCCTATGAGCTGTGCTCCAGACCCGCACCTCCTGCCCACATCCAGCCTCCAACTCCTGGCTCCCTCCAGCAACGCAGGAGGCTGCAGGGAGCCCATGGAGGAAGCACTGAGCACATCCCCATTGCACACCGGCCCTGGGGGTGATGAAACCAGCCCTGCTCCTCTTGCCACTTCCTTTCCAGGTGTTGCAAGAGGCTTGTCCCGGGCATCTCCGCAGGGAACGGCGCCCCACGGACACCAAGCTCAGGATTAACCAGACGGAGGAGGGCAAGGAGCCATGTTCCCGGCCACGGGACCCCCCAGCTCCCCCCCAGCTCATGTACGTAGGGGTCTGCATGGGCCTTGCCCCGGGGGGGGGCTGTGGATGGAACACTCCGGATGTTTTAGGGTGCTCAAAGGCCCGGCTCAGCCCCGGTTCGGGGCCAGCAGTGCTCCAGCAGAAGGTGCTGTTTGCTGAGCGCATCCCGCGGGGCGGCTCTCCCTGCTCCCCTCGCTCTCTGTTTGTGTTCCCATGGCTTCCCAAGGGCGCCATCGGGAGCACGCGAAGCTGCTGGGCTCGGAGGTGGACAAACCAACCGGCTCCAGCACACGTCCTGCCGGGACAGGATGCGGCCCTCTCCCCGCGGGAGCACGCAGCAGACATGAAGCAGATAGCGCTGCCTGCTCGGAGCCGGGAGGCTGCTGAGAAGGGATGAGCAGCAGTGATGGCCGGAGCCTGGGGAATGGATGTGCCCAGCTCCAACGAGGCTCTGGATCAGCGCATGAAACCCTAACCCAGGAGAGCACCTGCGGTTGCCTTCCCATTGCCAAGGGATGCGACCCGGCCTGAGCCTCCCCACTGCCCCTGTCCCTCTTGTTGACTTTGGCTCATTCTTCCCTGAGGGGAGGAGAGGGAAATCAGCGTCCCTGACCTCGGTCACTGGGAGCAGCTGGGAAACGTCTGAGGAGGCAGCGCAGTGAAGTGAGAGCTTCCTGCGCCTCCGCACCAGCCATTCCCCAAAATACAGGGGAGGAACAATGGGGAAGGGCGAAGCAGGAGGGAAAATCAGCCTGGGGCCAAGCAGAGCAGGAGGAAGGAGCAGGAGGCAGGGGGGTGATGCTCTGGGATCGCCTGGGGAGCAAACAGTGCAGAGCCACACCGTGGTAGAGCGGCTCCTGGCCGGTCCTTGCTGGAAGTGGGTTTGCCTCTTTGCTCCTGTTTGAAAGAAGGGAGCATCTTCAGCAGCACAAAGGCAGCTTCAATGCGTGCCGTGGTTGGCAGGGACCCAGTGAGTGAGCAAACAGCGTGGGAGGGTGCAGGAGGGCGAGGGGAGTGAAGGGCAGGAGCAGGAGGTGATTTGGGATGAGCTGCTGCGGATGGGAGAACGTGCACTGAGGCCCTGTGGGCACCTCAGCACTTGGAGCTCTGCCCTATGGCTCCTCCATCCATGCCCCACATCCCTCCTGCATCCCCCATGGACACGGATGGATGCAAGGGCCTGCAGGGACTCCAGGGGCTTTTCCATGTTGGCCGTGGTGCAGGGTGTCCCATGGGGATGGGCTGGTAACGGGCTCAGAAACAACACAGCTGCTAAGGGGAACCAGCACAAGAGCTCCCTGAGAGCGAGGGGCAGCCCGGCTGGGCAGGAGGGGGGCATGGCCTTGGCAACTGAGTTCAGGGACAGCCAGGTCCTGCCTGCTCCCATCCTCTGCTGCTCCTCCTCCAGCACAGCCCAGCGCCAGGCTCCTCAGTGCCGGCGTTCATCCTGATTCCTCTTCTCCTTCCCTTGGCAGGAGGCAAAGAACAGCTCAGGAGGCAGCACCGTGCAGCGCTCCAAGGTACCTGCGATTACCGCATCCTCCACGGCAAGGAGGGAAGGACCAAGCCCCATCCTATCAGTCAGCAGTGGTGCAGCACAGGGAGGGTGAGGGGAGATGGGGGTGCCCCACATAGAATGACAGAATGGTTTGGGATGGAAGGAACCTTAAAGCTCCTCCAGCTCCAACCCTGCCATGGGCAGGGACCCCTTCCACTGGAGCAGCTTGCTCCAAGCCCCTGTGTCCAACCTGGCCTTGAGCACTGCCAGGGATGGGGCAGCCACAGCTTCTCTGGGCACCCTGTGCCAGCGCCTCAGCACCCTCACAGGGAAGAGCTTCTGCCTAAGAGCTCAGCTCAGTCTCCCCTCGGGCAGGTTCAAGCCATTCCCCTTGGCCTGTCCCTACAGGCCCTTGTCCCAAGCCCCTCTCCAGCTTTCCTGCAGCCACTTTAGGCACTGGAGCTGCTCTGAGGTCTCCCCTTAAGGAGCCTTCTCTTCTCCAGGCTGACCCAGCCCCATACCTCCCCCAGTGGCAGTGTGGATATCAGGGAAGAGGCTGTGGGGGAAGCCAGGCACAGGATACCCCAAATTCCTTCCTCGTCCTCTCTTCCTTCGCTCTCCCCCCCGCAGTCCTTCAGCCTGAAGGCACAAGTGAAGGAGATGTGCACTGCCTGCCAGAAAACCGTGTACCCCATGGAGCGGCTCGTGGCTGATAAGTTTGTCTTCCACAACTCCTGCTTCTGCTGCAAGCACTGCCACACCAAGCTCAGGTGAGCCTGAGCGGGATGCGCCCATGGTGCTTGCTGGTGGAGGGGTGGATGGATGCAGTGGGGTACCCGTGGATGGGGGAGGCCTCTCCAAACAGTCCACCCATCACATTTGTGATGCCCAACACATTCATCACAGCAAAAACCAGGGCTTATGTGCCCAGCTGGCCCCAAGTCCCAGCTGGATCATAGGATGGTTTGTGTTGGAAGGGACCTTAAAGCTCATCCAGTCCCAACCTCCTGGCACAGGCGGGGACACCTTCCACAAGACCAGGTTGCTCCCAGCCCTACCTCCCCTGTCCCAAGCCCCTCTCCAGGTTTCCTGCATCCCCTTTAGGCACTGGAGCTGCTCTAAGGTCTCCCCAGTCCCAGCTAACCCCATTCTCCTTCCCCAGCCTGGGCAGCTATGCAGCGCTCCATGGGGAATTCTACTGCAAGCCCCACTTCCAGCAGCTCTTCAAGAGTAAAGGCAACTACGACGAGGGCTTCGGGCGCAAGCAGCACAAGGAGCTGTGGGTGCACAAGGAGGTGGAGAGTGGGACCAAGTCGGCGTGAGCGGGGCCGGCCCAGCCCTCCCTGGAGCACCGGCACGGTGCTGAGCCCGGCGCTAACTGAGCTGATGTAAAGCAAAGGGGACCCAAGGGCCACGGGAGGTGAGGGTGGGAGGCAGCACAGCTCTCTCTGCAGGATGTATAGAGGGGTCCTCTAGGCCATAAGGGCAGATGTGACCAGGGGACAGTCTCCAAGCCCCAATTCCAGAGACCAGATGGGATGCCCACCCCTATACAGGCATTTCAGGCTTGCCACCATGGATAAAGAGATGCTCTTGGAGGGGGTTTAACCCATGCTCTAAGTCAGAGCAGAGCTCCCAGCTCCTGCCACACCAATCCTGCCTTGCTGGGGCTCTGGCTAAGGAGGGTCCTCGGTTTACATCAGCTCAGTTCAGCTGGGAATGTTCAGCCTTAAGGATGTTGCCCTGCGACTGTTTCTCAGTGTCCGTCCTTTTCTATCTGCCTTCGGTAGGTCCTGCGCCAGGCGCTCTCTTATTTTTGTAATACAAGGTTTCTGAGCCTTCCCTGCGTTGTCCTGTGTTCCCGGGGGCTGGGGAGCTGGGAACAGAGCTGAGGGCTGCCTCTTACTGCCCAGGGACTGGGGAAAGAGCCCTTCTCCATGCAGGATCAACAGGTATTCCTGGGTACGTGTGTGCAGTGCAAGGATGGAGGTAGAGCGGACCTCTGGGGCATGAAGTCTGGATTTCAGCCTGCACAGCAGCTTCCACATGGAGCCCAGACCACTCCCAAAGGGAATTCTCCATCCCATGAATTAGATCCACCCCTCTGCCCTGCACACAGTTTGTGCCTCTCTCTCCATATCAATGGGGCCAGCCTCTGCAAGCAGATGCCGCCTCCATTCCCTCTGGGCTGACTGGTGCAAGGTGAGCTCTGCTCTGGATGAAGCCCATCCCTCTGGGCCCTCTCCAACAGGTCTGTATTTACCACCTTCCTCCACACATGATGTGTAAGCCTTGCCTGGGGGAGCAGGCATTCAAGGAAGCCCTCATCTTTCACATGCTACAAGAATCTGGCTTTTCAGAGCCCACACAGCCTTTGGCATCATGGCAAGAGCCTCTGCTCCTTCACCAGCCAGTAACGTCAGCTCCCACTGATGGAGAGAATCCAGAACCAGCCACAAAAACAGGAGCAGAGAGGGAGCCGGATGGATATGGATGGTCCAGAGGAGCCCAGGAGGAGCAGAGGGTACACAGAGATGCTCTTAACCCAGGTCACAAGTCCCCTGGGGCTCTGGGTGGGCACCAACCTCAGAGACGCGTTGGGTGACCCCAGGAGCCCCATGTCCCTCATGGTGGATAAATTACTTCTCCTTTAAAAGGCCAGGACCGTGAGCTCCACACGGCCTGCACACAGAGACCCTGGCGAGGCTCCCTGAGCTCCAGCCTCACCAAGAGCTTTGGCTGGCCCCATGGTGCAGGTGCTGCTGTGGGCTCCTCACATCAGTGTGCAGCTCACACCATGACGGAAGCTGCTTCCTGCCCATCACCGCATCACTGCTGTGATGAACCCATCACTGCATCACCTGCTGCTCTGTGGTGCTGGGCGCCTTGGGGCCTCTTCCTGCCGAGGGGTGGCTTAGAAAATGAAAGCAAGCTCCTGGGTTTTGCTTCCTGTTCCTTGCTGGCCTCACTTCCCCATCCCTCGCCTCGGCTGCCTGCTGCTCTTGCCTGCAGAGCAGGGCCACCAGGTCCTCAGCGGGTTGAACTACACCAGAGCACACTGGGGGAGGGAGAAAAACCTTCTTTAAGCAAGGAGAACAAGGGTCCAGTTCTCTCCTTTCCTCTCCAGCATCTGGAACTGTGTCTAAAGGCAGTAGCACTCGAGTACTATTAGTGCTAGCAGTGCACTAGCACATCTCTAGAGCTGCTAGAACTAGTAGTACACTAGTACATCTCTAGAGCTGCTAGAACTAGTAGTACACTAGTACATCTCTAGAGCTCCAGAACTAGCAGTGCACTAGCACATCTCTAGAGCTGCTAGAACTAGCAGTGCACTAGTACATCTCTAGAGCTGCCAGAACTAGTAGTGCACTAGCACATCTCTAGAGCTGCTAGAACTAGCAGTGCACTAGTACATCTCTAGAGCTGCCAGAACTAGTAGTACACTAGTACATCTCTAGAGCTGTTAGAACTAGCAGTGCACTAGTACATCTCTAGAGCTGCCAGAACTAGTAGTACACTAGTACATCTCTAGAGCTGCCAGAACTAGTAGTACACTAGTACATCTCTAGAGCTGCTAGAACTAGCAGTGCACTAGCACATCTCTAGAGCTGCTAGAACTAGGAGTACACTAGTACATCTCTAGAGCTACCAGAACTAGTAGTGCACTAGTACATCTCTAGAGCTGCTAGAACTAGCAGTACACTAGTACATCTCTAGAGCTGCTAGAACTAGCAGTGCACTAGTACATCTCTAGAGCTGCTAGAACTAGCAGTGCACTAGTACATCTCTAGAGCTGCCAGAACTAGTAGTACACTAGTACATCTCTAGAGCTGCTAGAACTAGTAGTACACTAGTACATCTCTAGAGCTACCAGAACTAGTAGTACACTAGTACATCTCTAGTCAGCTAGAGTACACTAGACATCTCGAGCTACTAGAACTAGTAGTACACTAGTACATCTCTAGAGCTGCTAGAACTAGCAGTGCACTAGTACATCTCTAGAGCTGCTAGAACTAGTAGTGCACTAGTACATCTCTAGAGCTACCAGAACTAGTAGTACACTAGTACATCTCTAGTACTACTAGTGCTAGCAGTACACTAGTACATCTCTAGAGCTGCTAGAACTAGCAGTGCACTAGTACATCTCTAGAGCTGCTAGAACTAGTAGTGCACTAGTACATCTCTAGAGCTGCTAGAACTAGTAGTTCACTAGTACATCTCTAGAGCTGCTAGAACTAGTAGTACACTAGTACATCTCTAGTACTACTAGTGCTAGTAGTACATTAGTACATCTCTAGTGTTACTAGTGCTAGTAGTACACTAGTACATCTCTAGAGTTCCAGAACTAGTAGTGCACTAGTACATCTCTAGAGCTGCTAGAACTAGTAGTACACTAGTACATCTCTAGTACTACTAGTGCTAGTAGTACATTAGTACATCTCTAGTGTTACTAGTGCTAGTAGTACACTAGTACATCTCTAGAGTTCCAGAACTAGTAGTGCACTAGTACATCTCTAGAGCTATAAACTACTAGTGCTAGTAGTACATTAGTACATCTCTAGTGTTACTAGTGCTAGTAGTACACTAGTACATCTCTAGACCTCCAGAACTAGTAGTGCACTAGTACATCTCTAGAGCTACCAGAACTAGTAGTACACTAGTACATCTCTAGTACTACCAGTGCTAGCAGTACACTAGTACATCTCTAGTGCTACTAGTGCTAGCAGTACACTAGTACATCTCTAGAGCTGCTAGAACCAGTAGTATACTAGTACAGCTCTAGAGCTACTAGAACTAGTAGTAGTAGTACACATGTCTAGAGCTACCAGAAGTAGTAGTACACCATTCCCTACCTCTCCCATTCTCACCGGGGCACAGGCAACTCTCCCTGACAGGGCAGCAACAGAAGGATGTGTGTGAGCACACAGTTTGATATCCTCAGCCTGCTCCACTGGTTTCTGATTCTGTGGCAACCTGAGCCAGGCCCCAGCGCTGAGGGGAGGGAAGAGAATCTGGTGGGCACCAGATTCACACGGACAGAGACGTTCATTACAGCTACACCTCACAGAGTGGCCGCTGCACACAAAGGCGCCAACCCCTGCTTCCCCGATTCACACGCCAGCTCTGCACACCGCTTCAAATGGCTCCACATGGGAGCTTTCTGTAAGACAGATTAAAGTAGAATAAAAGAAAGGCCAAACCATTGTCTCTATGTCCTGAACGTGTAGCTAAAATCCAGCTGATTTATGATGAGAACTGGAAGCCTCCTTTCTGAATCCCTCCCACCCATTGCAACCCCCCTGTCTCTGAGCAGGCACAGTCACTGCAACACTCACCTCCAGCACTGGAGCTGCTCTAAGGTCTCCCCTTCAGGAGCCTTCTCTTCTCCAGGCTGCCCCAGCCCTGCTCTCTCAGCCTGGCTCCAGAGCAGAGCTGCTCCAGCCCTTGCAGCATCTCCATGGCCTCCTCTGGACTCGCTCCAGCAGCTCCACGTCCCTCTTGTGTCCGGGGTGGAACTGGATGGTCTTTAAGACCCCTTCCAACCCAGCCCATTCTATGATTCTGTGTCTTAAGCTTCAAGTCATGAGCTGGTCCCTGCTGGGGCTTCTTTGTGCTGCTGCAGCACAGCAAAGTAGTGCAGCAGCTCCATAGGGACATATCCTCAGCAGAGAAGCAGGAGGCAAAGCAGAGGATGCTACAACTCTCTGGGCTCAAGAGCAGCAGCTTTAATAGCAGCACAAGGGTTGTTCCCTTAATGTGAAGCACAGAACATGGCTCACTGCTGCCTGCATATCCAAAGAGCAGACCTGGTTTTACCGCTGAAGAGACAATACAACTGATGAGGAATGAACAACCACCATAGCCCTTTGCATTCCCATGCAAACACAAGGCTTCTGTTACCAACCTGCCTTTGAGCTCAGGAGAGGACATTTCCCAGAGCCTGGAAACTCAAGCCAACAGATTCATGGAATAATTGGAAAACAATAAATCAGTAAGAATCCATCTATATCCATACCGTGCAGATGGCCAGTTCTGGCCAAGATACAGAGCACCAGGCAGAGATCAACAGCAGAACAAGTGACACGACAGCTCACCGTGCCAGCATTTCCTGGATATAATGTAATACACCCACACCCAGGCAATATCAAATCCAGAAGACACTGTAACTGGTTCAGACTTCACTCTCCTCGAGCCACAGCAGTGTAGTATTAGCCAACCTCTGTAGAGACTTGGAACTCTTACTTGCTTCAGAAGTGGATATAGAGAGGAAATGTACCTCGTGCCACCTTGCCCTGGCCCACACTGCATAGAACACACATCCCCAGGAATCAGGAAAGGCACAAGAGGTTTTTAGCTGCATTTCTTTGTGTGTTGGTCAGTGCTTTGTGGCTGATCAACCTTCAACCCAAGCCTCCAGATGTTTTTCTCTCCCAGCCACCACCTATAGCCAGGTATGGTGAAGATTCAAGCAAGGAATAC